CTGTTAGAGTGGCCATCATCAAAAACAAGAGATAACGAATGCTGGCATGGATGTGAACAAAAGGGAACCCTTGTGCACTGTTGGTGGGATTGTAAACTGGTACAAACACTATGGAAAACAGTATGAAGTTTCCTCAAAAAATAAAAATAGAACAACCATATGATCTGGCAATCCCACTTCTGGGAGTATATCCAAAGGGAACCACAACACTAACTCAAAAAGATATCTGTACCCCGATGTTGGCATTATTTATAATAGCCAAGATATGGAAACAACCTAAGTGTCTATTGACGAATGAGTGAATAAAGAAGTTGTGGTGTATATATAACAGTGGAATGTTATTCATCCATAAAAACCAAAGAAATCCTACCATTTGTGACAACATGGATGGAACTTGAAGGCATTATGCTAAATGAAATAAGTCAGGCAGAGAAAGACAAATACTGTATAATCATACTTACATGTGGAATTTAAAACAAACAAACAAAAGAAACAAAACACCAAACCTATAGAAAAGGAGATCAGACTTGTGGTTACCAGCAGTGGAAGGTGGTCAAGTTACAGACTTCCAGTTACAAGATAAAAACTAGGGATGTGATGAACATGATGACTACAGTTAACACCACTGTGTGATATAGGAAGGTTGTTAAGAGAGTAAATCCTGAGTTCTCATCACAAGGAAAAAATTTTTTTCCTTTCTTTCCTTTCTTTTCTTTTTATTGTATCTATATGAGATGGACGTTAGCTAAACCCATTGCAGCAATCATTTCACAATAAATCATGCTGTGTGCCTTAAACTTACACAGTGACATATGTCAATTATTTCTCAATAACAGTGGGGAAAAATCTTCTGTAGGGAAGGGTGTGGGAACTGGGCATGTGTGCAACAAAGGTTGAGGAAGTCTTTTCACAATATATCTTCACATATGGTTTTTGAACCATGTGAATATATCACCTATGCAAAAATTAAATTGTAAAAAAGAAAATATGACATGAAGAGTCCTATGCTTTGCAACCTTTTAGCTGAGTGTTCACAAACTAGAAACAGAATAAAGAGAAGTAAAACATTTTCATGAATCTTACATTCCAAATTTGACAAGATATTTCCATTTTAAATTTTTTCCATAACTTACAACTGACTTGAAAATATTTCTTTTACGTTAAATTTTATATTGTTGATATCAGTTAAAAAATGAATTTTAAAAACTTGAGCAGGATCCATCCAGCTACTCATAAACTAGGAGAGAGTGAAAGTACATATGTAAAACCTAACAAGAAAAAAAAAAAAAGCCAGGGATCTAGTTTTTTCTTTTGGCAGGAAAAAAAAAATCCCCCTAAACCTTTAAACCTAACAAAGTTATAACTATCATCGGGAAAGAATATAATTTTAGCCAAGCATGCCAGAGAAGGAGGTAAAGTCTGTTTATACTTAAACTAAGAGGTGGTAGTGGCCTGAGCCCACAGTGAACATTCCCATCCAGCAACATTTTAATAGAACAAGCACTGAAGAACATAGCTGGGGCTGTTAGCTGTAGCATGGTGGCCCATTAATAAAATTCTAGTGAGGGAACTGCATTTTCTGATGCAGTTTCTGATCTGTTCCTTGTCTCAAACTTGTGCTACAAGGCATACTGCAGACAGCCCACCTGGAATCAGAGTGGATCAAACTAAAAGAGTATGCAACATAGAAAATACACATTTTGGGGAGCCTGCGTGGCACGGTCGGTTGAGCAACTGACTCTTGGTTTCCACTTAGGTCCTGATCTCAGTATCCTGAGATCAAGCCCCAGGTCGGGCTCCGCGCTCAGCATGGAGTCTGCTTGAAGATTCTCTCTGTCTCCCTCTGCTCCTCCTGCTCCTGTTCTCTCTCTCTCTCAAATAAATAAATAAATCTTTAAACAAACAAACAAAAAAAACAGTATCGATTTTGGGGTCTAGTTTTTCCAGAGCCTGACTGAGGGCAAGCTGGAGGACTGGGTATTTGACCTCTGTCCAGGTCCATGGGCCTAGATTTATTCCCCTGTATATAACATGACTATTAGCAAATAACCATAGAATACTTTTTAGTTCTATGAAATTGACTGTTTTCCCCTAAATAGGAATGATAATAATAGGTAACACTTGGGTAGGATTAACTTGTGCCAGTCACAGTGCATTTGCTTTCCAAATTCTGTCTCGTTTAATTCACACACAACCTTGAAATAGTTCTATTATTCTCCCCATTTTAAAAATGAGAAAAATAAATGAGATTTAGAAAGATTAAATAATTTCTTAAAGTCACAAGCATTAGCCCCAGTGAGAACTCACCCTCCCTACTACTATATCAAATGTTGCCAGATTTAGGCTGATTCTAAAAAGCACTACACATACATAATATACGAGCGTACATATCATTTCAGTTTCCCAAGTATTTGGCATGCATGTCTTATTTAATCCTCACAACAGCACTATAATTTTGAAAATTGATCTTATTCTCATTTATAGATATAGAAAACGAAACTCAGATCACCTAGCTAGTCAGTAGCAGTTATAAGGTACTATCTTAAGTCTTCCAACTAATTATGTCTAGCATGTTCTTTCATTACCCTAAATTTTCAAAGATAAATTTTATTTCTAACAGCCCTTACTATTTAAATGGTTTAATCTTTCATATTTTAATCACATCACTAAATGTGATTTTTAAAAGAGCAAATATTTCAGTTAGATAAGTGAAATGATAACTTTCTTATTTTTAAAGCCGTTATCTATAGAAAGACATTAGACACAGAAAAACAGTTTTAAGGTGTCAATTATATTTCAACATAAGGAAATAGTCATATAAATGTATTTTTGTGCTTGATAAGTGTAATTACATCTAGAATTATAATCAATTATCTAAGAATTTCTTTTTTCTCTGCATCTCTAATTAATACTATTTTAGTAATAAAATGATTCAGATTTTTAATCCATTCATTTTTTTATTTTATTATGTTATGTTAATCACCATACATTACATCATTAGTTTTTGATGTAGTGTTCCATGATTCATTGTTTGTGTATAACACCCAGTGCTCCATTCAATACGTGCCCTCTTTAATACCTACATCACCAGGCTAACCCATCCCCCATCCCCCTCCCCTCTAGAACCCTCAGTTTGTTTCTCAGAGTCCATCGTCTCTCATGGTTCATCTCCCCCTCCGATTTCCCCCCCTTCATTTTTCCCTTCCTACTATCTTCTTCTTTTTTTTTAACATATAATGTATTATTTGTTTCAGAGGTACAGATCTGTGATTCAACAGTCTTACACAATTCACAGCGCTCACCATAGCACATACCCTCCCCAATGTCTATCACCCAGCCACCCCATCCCTCCCACCCCATTCGTTTTTGAATTGCTTTTATCCAACAGATATTTCATTTCTGAAGTTATCCCAAGAAAGTTTCAAAAGAAGTTTATCATAGGAAAAGAAATATACAATAATAATTGAGCTCCCCTTAGAATGATATAGGAAAGCCCATTTATCCAGCAATAATTCGTGTATCTGACATATATAAAAGACGATCTGGAGGGAAGCTATGAAAAAGGGACCAATTGCCATCCATTAAACCAGTTTTTAATTGTTATGTAGTTTGCTTCATTCTAATTCCTACAGATAGAAAAGAACCTAGAAGAAACAAATTGCAAATTAGTGTTTATAGTGTCTTCCTAAAATTTTTAATTGCTTTACTGTGATTTTATCAGTAATCTGGGGTCATAACACATTCCAGAGTGAAAGAGTTGTTGTGTAACCGGAAGCTCTGTCCAACAATCAGCTTATGTTCTCATAAATCCTGTGCATTACCCCCTCTTGCTGCCCTGAAAAATTCACTCCATTAGCAAGAAGTGGAAAGTTGACTGATGGTTTCCTGAGAGAGACAGAGGTTTCACTGGGACTGACTGGGCAGGTGGGGCTCACGTGGAACAGCACAGTGCTCCCCAGAGCCTTCCTCCAGGCCCCAAGCTGACACCTCCTCCAAGAAGCTGGTGCAACCTCGTCTTTGCTAGAGACTTTCAGCTCTCCACCTCCAGACTCTTCAGTTTTACCTCTACACTCGTCACCTGTCAGTGTGCGTGGTGTGTGTGAGGTAATATTTTGCCTGACACAAGTAAAAATGAGCATAATTAAATAGAAAAAGAAGATGGAAGTTCCTATTTGTATTATAGATGCTATAAATGTTAAGTCTAAGGCTCTTGACATTTATCTACTTTTTTTTCAACTGGACATATGCCATACAAGATACTTTTGCTTTTTTGTTTGTTTTTAGTTGCAAGAAAAGATACCACAATCATTGACTTGTTTATTTTTGGTAATGGTAGCAAAGTGGTGTCAGCGTCACTCGGCGCTGTCATCTGGCTCTCACCACCACCACCACGCATACATTTGAGAAACAGCTTACATAAGTTATAAGTCTGTAGCTTGGAAAAGAAAAAAAATATCTTGATGTTTTACATAAAAATACATATTTCTGGCATCTATTGAAAATCTTCAGTCCCAAATTCCCACATGTTAACAATCAGCCAAAGCCAAGTGTTGGTTGACTCTGTTCTTTTACATTTTCAGTTCTGAGCTCAACTCTCCTGTCTACAGTAACTGAATCTACCATGTAGGTCTTCCTCACCAACTAATCTAAACAACTTTTGTGTCATTTCTGTATATGCTCTTGTTCTAAGATCATTAAAAAGTATATTTTCCATTTTAAAGTAATTTTTAGGTAGATTTTAAATTATCTTTGCATCTTAAAATGGAAACAAAATCTTTAGACAATTGTGTAGCGTTACAGTAATTTACAATTGTTGGGTGTGTCAGCTGCTATTCTTTTACACAAAATGTAATTATTAACTTATCATTAAAAAACATTGCTATTACCATTGTCCTCACAAATATTGAAAAAGTAAATATTTGCACATTAAGGACATCTTGGATTATTTCGTTCCCAAAACATCTATCAAAATAATGCTTAAGCTCTGGATCTTATTTTAGCACTGCATATGTCCTTGAAAGACAGCATAAAATGGCTTGGAGAAGTTATGGCTGAAATAGGACCATCCCATTCACAGAAAAATGAGGAATGGAATGTCTTTAATATAAAACAAGCCAATGCTGTCATCGATTACTTAAAAATCAGGTATGGATTTTTTTTCAGTAGCATTTGTTTTCATTTCATTATCTTTTACAAAATGTCTATTAAATAGAAATGAATTCAAATTTTAGACATTTACAGAATTTATGCTGTAATTAACCCAGCCAATAATGAGATAATATTAAAATTTTTCATCCAATAAATAAAATTCAGGACATTGAGTTTTTGGCTAACCTTCCATTCTTAAAAAAAGGTTTGTATTTGACAAGTACAATTTCATCTAGAATTATAATAAATTATCCAAAAATTTCTTTTTTCTCTGAATCTCTAATTAATATCATTTTATTAACAAAATTATTCTTTCAGATTAATCAGACTTGGTTACAATAGACTATATATTTTAGTAGTTGGCCTTGAAATCAAAATTTTACATTTTAGAATAACAGTCATTTCCATTTAAAGATTTATTTTAAATGTTTTGTATTAGAAATTAAAGAGATTTATGTGCAAGCTTCCTCAAGTTTATTATTTGCCCTGAAATATTTTGTAGTATTGATCAATTAAACTCATTAAGTTTCTCTTTATGCTTAGAAAATGATGGTGAATGGAAGGAAAGTATTTTTATTACAGTGATTCTTCATTGGTGAACTAAGAAATCTGTCTTTTTATATAATCTGTCACAAGGTCTGCATTAGGGCATGCATCTCTCCCAAGGGACATTTTTAGAGTTTGCAAATATTTAAACAAGAGTTGGTAAAAATATTTTTTTGCCTAACTAAAAGCTTCTGCAGAATATCTTTTTTCCTCCATTATTATATACTGCAGTGTTTTCCAATTTTAAATTTTAAAATTCCAAAATAAAGGGTGCTGCATGATGTCCTAGACATGCTCATAATTTGCTTGACAAGGATCCTGGCTGTAGTCTGGAAGCTTTTTAAATATTAACCTGTTTAATTTGATAATGCTTATATACTGGTTTCTGGCATGAATTAATAATAGTATATGATATAATATGTTTTTATATGATAGCACTTGATATAATTTGATTTCTTAATATAAAACATATACCTCCAAATGTGTGTCTCTCACTAAAAGCTACAGTACTCTTCATATCAATTAGAATAAAGCAAGGTCCTTGCGTGGGAGGAAGGAAGGGAGTGGAAATCCAGAATTGGAGAACCCGTTCCCCAAGGTCTTTCTGCCCATCAGAATCACTGGGTGAGGGGAATTCTCTGCACATTTGTATAGCATCCTTCTTTCCCTCCTTTACCTATTTGAGACCACCAGGTCTCTCTTTGAAGAACACATTACATCTGAGCTCTAAGCTCCGGAGGTTTATAATAGGCACCAGGACTGATAGTTAACCATAAGAGCTAAACCCATGCAGGCACCCTAATCACACCTTCTAGGTGGTGAAAGATGGCACTTCTTTTCTCTTTTGTCTTGTCTCTCTGGACAAACACTCATCAGTGAATTTCTTGACATTTCATTTCAGAAAATGATTAAGTTAGGAAGGGATGTCAGTGTTAGTCACCATTGAACGTTTACTTGGGTAACTTTACTTACCAAAAATTTCTAGTCTCATTTCTAAAAACAACAACAAAAAAGTAATATTTGAAAGATTACTAATCTCCCATGTAAAGTAAATGAGAACTATTTTTGATGCATTAAATCTTCATATTGTGATTTCAAAGATATTGTACATTTTAAATGCATCTGTTACAGAAAATAAAATATCAGTTAGTATGATATCTAGAATTGATACTGAAATTGTGTAAAGAAAAATGTCCTTTTCTACAATTCCTATTTAGAATGACTCATAGGTCCACAAATATAAATTTAATGGCAATTAAATCATATAATATTTTTCATTTTAATGACTACAAAGAAGTTTTATAAATATGAAGCTAACTCAATTATTGAAAGTATAAGCATGTTTCAATTTAATCTGATATTAAATTTACTCAACCAGTGAAAGCCCTCATCAATTTAGGGAGAGTAGTTTTTAGAATATGACCTATAGCACATGAAACTTAACTGGCAATAAGATTAAAATTTTATTCGATACTGTTAATAGGATCTAAATTGTATATTCCATCATGTGTCTGTGATTTGAAAAAAACTAATATCAAAATTCCTCTCTAACATTGCTGTAAGTACTGACCAATCTACTCATGCAATATATACATTGATATATTTTATGTAATATATACTAATATAAATGCTACTGCAGCTTTTCAATATAAGACATCATTTAGATATATCTGGTCCACATACGCTTCTGTCATTGTGTATTCTACCTCTTCCTTGGGAATTAGGTGAAGGTAATGTGCACAGGCATTTACTCAATATAAGAAAATCAAAACTGTCCCTCTGTGCACAACAGGGTATCCTACTTCCTGGCATGGAGCCCTGATGTCTTGACCCATTTTATTTCTCCCTTTGATTTAGAACTAAGACAAGTTGTTTGACAAAATAGTCTAGGGGCTTGAGTCAGCTGGAAGTCTTCCTAGCAAAGGAAGAAGGAGGAAATGTATTCCCATAGCAGAGGTGTCACTTTGTTCCCATAGGAAGTCATCTAATAGTTCCTTGCTAAAGTTAGAGAACCTCAACCAATATGGGGACCAGAGTGAGGCAATGGAGGCAACTTGACCTGGCCCTGAAAAATGCTTCCTCCTTAGGTGTCCCCCTCCCCTCATCTGTTTTACCCTAGTCGTGGCCTTGCCCCAGCTTGCATCTTTGACCACTGCATCCAAGTCATGAATTTTATTTTCATTGTAAGAAGGGAATTTCCCTTTTGGCTGAGACAATCTAATTCCTATATGTAATGAGGAGAATAAGGCTGAAAGATTATAAAATTGCAGGAAGGAAGATTTATGAATTAACTTCTTTGTGTAACATGAGATGGAAGGAAAATTTTACACTAATTCACTGAGAGGAAGCCAAGTTATTTCCAAATACTCTATAGTCTTTAATTTTTCTACTCAAAATCAGTTATTGCCAGTGTAATATTTTTAACCCTAAAGCTTTCTCTAGGTAAGTGATGTAAGGGAAGGAGAACTTGAATTTATTTTGCTTCATTGAACCATCAAACTTCACTAATCTTGATGTATTTTCTAGCCAATAAATCAAAGTAATGTCAAAAGCTAAGTTAGTTTTCTGAGTGTTGATGAGTAATTTGAATATACGAGGTTTTTTTTTAAAAAAAAAACAAACAAACATGACTGAGTCTGCATACCCATCACTTTTTAATGGATTGTGTTAGTAGTGAAATCAACTGCTGATATAACAGAGAGACCCATCTGCCTGAGGATTTCTTCATTGATTTCAAATGAATTGAAACTTTGATCCATTACAGCATTCAGGAGAAGCCATTATTATACATGCTCTGTAGCTACATTTTGCAAATGTTAATTTCTCAGTTACATTAAAATCAATTTTCTTAAATAGCAAAAGGCATCAGAGTGAAAGAGAAACCACTAAGACAATTTTTTTGTTCTTGGGCATTTTGCTGTATTATGAGTCTATTAATTTTCCCAACCAGCAGGAAGAGAATTAGAAAAATTCAAATATCACAAACAGGATATTAGAAATCAGCCCTTCAGTAAATTTTTAACTCTCAATAATACATCGCTGAGATCTTTAAACTTACTAGAAAAACTTGTTTTAAGACTCGTATCCTTTAGCTCATCACAGTTTTTATACACTGACCACCTAGTCTTTGGGTAGAAACTGAAGAAATTATCTTTCTTAAATTAATTCCTCTCTTTGACATGTGATCAAATATTCTACAAGAAAACCAGACAACTTCTAAATGGATTTCAGTTCATGTTGCAGCATTTTCAGGTGTTATCAGAGATTAATTTAATCTTGAAACAGTTTGAGAACATGAGAAGTAATTGATACGGAAGTAGATTATAGAATTCGGTGCCATTCATTCCAGGGGAAATTGACTCCAGTTTGAAGCAAAACATGAAATGTGAAATTTGGTGTTATTTAGGGGCAGTGCATTACTTTATTGTCAACCAAAACAAGTCATGATGCAATCTAATTGCTCCCTTTTCCCAAACCTATCCACTCATCACAGATTAATTTACCGATCTTATATTAGGTATTGTGTTATACTGTCAATGTCTCAAAAAAGTAAATCATTAGTTTCTCACCATTTCTGGACAATTCATTTGGAATAAAAGAGGTAGCTAACTCTATATTAGTGTTTAATGTCTTTCGCTTGGTCACTATGAACAACTTTCCTTTAATAAATACTCTTATTTATTTGTTTTCTTTCCTAAAATAAACTTATCAGAGTTGCACATTTATTTTGTATTTCAGCTTATTTCAACACTACAAGCTATATGAGTTTCTATTCTACTCTACCAGGGAAGAAATTGTGATAGGAACTGAGGTAAGTAATTTATCTAGATGGAACCAATTAAGCTGAATCACTTAATGCATGCTGATCAGCATCTGGATCTTTAACAGCTTAAAGCAACTTCTTGTCAAGATTACTCAAGTGTTAATATAACCAACTACTAGTTTGCAAAAAGAATAATTACATAAAGTGAGCTTTGGATTAAGAAAATAAGCTGTCTTTTGGCATTAAAAGCATTGTTAATCACATATACTTTACGTATTTATGGATTATTTGACAAAGCAAAATTGAGTGGGTTATGTATGTCTTCATACAAAGAAAATTGGGAAAAGTGAGATAAATTAATTCAGTTAAATCTCTTCTAATTTCACATTTTTTTCCAATCTACTCATTTTTTAAGGTCTAATTCAAATCCCACTTCCTCAGCGAAGCAAACCTTCCTTAATTCACAGCATCTCAAAGGAAGGGTTTAGACAAAGTCTTTAATCACATTCTGTTATTTTATTCTAGTTGATCTCTTTCTGGTGAATACTGGCTACTCTTACTACACCAATAAGCACATAACTATGCACTATCCTATATGGTTTTCTAATTATTTTTTGTGGATTAATATAGTCAACACAATTCAACTGTAATTTCCTCGAAGGCAAGGATGAGGGACTGTTTTTCTACCAAAGCATAGAGTGTACTGCACCATAGTGGCCCCTCAATTAATACAATGTGATTCAGTGACGTTGAATACAATAACATTTCTGCAAAAAATGATCTACCTGAAGATACCTTGGAAGAGCTTTACATATTAATTACATATTCATAATTGCTATAAATTAATCCTGGGTAAGAAAACATCAGGGCGCCTGGGTGGCTCAGTTGGTTAAGCGACTGCCTTCGGCTCAGGTCATGATCCTGGAGTCCCGGGATCAAGTCCCGCATCGGGCTCCCTGCTCGGCGGGGGGTCTGCTTCTCCCTCTGACCCTCCCCCCTCTCATGTGCTCTCTCTCATTCTCTCTCTCTCAAATAAATAAATAAAATCTTAAAAAAAAAAAAAAGAAAAGAAAACATCTTAAGGACGCTAAAGATGCCATAAAAAGTGCTCCTCAGGTTCTCAACTACTGGAGGAGGCTATGTTGCCCAGAAGTATCAGACAGGACTTGCCATGGTCACAAACAGTGAATAAGGGTATATTTATGTGAGCTTTATAATTTTCTGATATTAAGTACCAGGTGGAGTGTGCCAACTTTCTGTCTGCCAGAGTGTCATTATTCTGGAGTTTATAAAATGCTTACTTCATAAACATCTCAGTCACTGTTACTCATCCTCTATGTGGGTACTTGTTCTAATGCTGGCCTTTTAAGTGAATTGAAGGAAAACAAGGAGCCCTTTTTGCTTTTGACTTTCCTTAAAATTTCTTCTTTGTGGTCTCCTCATACTATATTTTAAATTAGATGTCACTCGACAGTTTTACTGAAAACATTTCCATTGGAGAATTACATCATGTAGTGCAACAGTGTTGCAATAAAGATCAGTATAGATACAATCCTATCTCATCTATTCAGCAAAACTTTGGGAAAATGATAATGACTTCAACAGCAGCATAAGCAGATATTTAGAATCATCAAGAAAAAATTTCATAAAGAACTCCCTTTTCCCTTTGTTAGTTGCACAATTGTGCCTTTCTTCTTTGTTGTAAGGATATATTTAGGTGACATTTATGCTCTATGGAAAGATAAAATGGAGAAAGTAGACTGGGATTGGCGTCTTTATTTTCCTTTGTCTTTTGTATTTTCTCCAAGCTGACCAGAGCTATAAAAAAAAAAAAAAATCTTTAATGAAGGGATATTGGGTCTTCAAGAATTAGACCACTCATGGTATTTTAAAGGATTAACCAAAGCAGGTATTATACTACAATATTTAATGGCATTGTAGAAGTGTCTGATAACCCTTGGTGCAAATATGTTTTTTAATTAACAACCTTTCATAGACGAGGCAGAGGTCTGCCCCCCTAATATGATTATTCATGCTGACCTCAGTGCTCTGGGACCAAATAAGGTCCACACAACAATTGCATAAATGTTCCAAGTTTAAGTCTCAGGCTAGTGTCCAAATTAAAGAACACTGACAAAATTTAGTTTCTTCCTTAATTGTGGATAGGCGATTATAACAAAACACATAAATCCCCTCTAAGGATAATTACTAAATATTAATTTCTATTATGAAAAGAATATAAATAAACCATACTCATACTTTTTTTGGGTTTTAGTTAAAAGAATTGTTTGTTTATTTGTTTGTTTTTTAATTTAGCGATCATTTCTGGCTATCTCTACTCACCTTTTCCAAGAAATTTCATGTTATGCTTAGATCATAGAGGCACATTTTCAGTAAATCATTATTCTTGACTTGAGATGCTTCATAATCTAGAAATATTTCTATAGATACAGTTCTGTAAATGACATGTTTTGTAGTTCATTCAGTGGTTCACAGATCATATATGTTGAAAGGCAGTAAACAACCACAATGAACTAGGATAATGACAGAATGGAAGCAGCAAATTCCCTTGGTTGTAGCCTCCTGAGAGGATGAAGTATATGAGTTTCACTCACTATTTACAGAGATGAGCCACTGAATTCTACTCCTGAAACCAATATTGCACGGTGTTAACTAAAATTTAAATATAAATAAATAAGATGGAAACGAACTAACTAACTAAAGAGGTGAGGACTCCCTTTTAGTCACTTAAGCCAGGAGTTCTCCAAGCCTTGTTTTGACAATGCAATTAGCCCACAGATCCTCTGACACAAGAATTGTAAGGTAATCAGATTCTCCTTTGGGGTTATGTATCTTCCTTGACCTAAGGCCACACCCGGAAAGAAACCTGGAAACTGCTATGTTCTTTGCTTTTGTTACCTAAAAACTACACAAAACATTTAATAATTGCACACAAAGAACACTATCAGATATTAGCAATGGTGATGACCAAAAACTCATAGAAGATACCCAAAGTCATGGTTCTAGTCAGGTATCTACCACCAGGCATCTGTTAAAATGACATGATGCAACTATAAAATTATTTGTTTATTCGTTCAACATATGTTACCAGGTCCCTATTACATTGTAGGTTTTGTTAACTTCCAAGGACACACAATGATAAGCAACAATTCTTGTCCTCAAGGAGTTGACTGTCTAATGAGAGGAGAAAGGTGATTAAATAATTAATTATAGGAGGGGGGAAAGATGGCAGAGGAGTAGGGGACCCTATTTCAACTGGTCCCCGGAATTGAGCTGGATATCTACCAGACCACTCTGAGCATCCACG